TGATGATGGTTGTTTTAAGTATGTCTTCATAGCCTTTCACGCATGTACTTCAGGTTTTAAGTTCCTCAGACAAGTAATCTCTGTTGATGGCACGTTCTGCAAAACACTTGAAAAAGGTGTTTTACTAATTGCCACAGCACAAGATGGTGCCTTCCATCAGTATCCTCTTGCATGGGCCATTGTAGACTCTGAAAATAACGACTTCTACTCATATTTCTTCGGTCATCTTCGTCAAGTAATCGAAGATCATCAACATTTGGTCTTCATTTCAGATAGGCATCCAAGCATCGAGAATGGTTTGAGAAAACATTATACTCTGGCAGACTACGGGTACTGTCGATATCATATTCAGTGTAATTTAAAAGGTCCATTAGGAAAGAAGAACAAAGATGGTTTAAGGCTATTTGATCGTCTTTCAAATGCCTACACGGTGAAGACTTTTCATAGGATTTTTAATGAATTTGAGGACAGGTATCCTAATGGGGCTAGGTACATAAGTACTATTCCGAAGGAAAGGTGGGCAAGGGCTTTTTTCAAGACAAACTGTTATAATATAATGACGACAAATGGGACAGAGAGCGTTAACAGCGTCTTACGACACACCATAACACTACCCATCCTAGCATTGTTGAACGAAATGCAATCGAAGACTGCCGAGTGGCGGGGGAAACGGCATACAGAGTTGAATGCTCTACAAAACTCTAGCAGTCCGCTCACTCCAGATGCGGAAGCCTACCTTCGTAGGCTGTACCCTATTGCTTTGAAGCTTTCGAGCATGCGTTTGGGCAATCATGAATTTCAAGTTCAAGGAGTTACATCGGATCATGTTGTGAACTTGCACCAAAAGACTTGCACCTGCCGCGTATTTGACCTGGACAAAATTCCTTGCGTTCATGCATTAGCATGCTTGACGGATGATATCACGAGGGAACTGGAGATAAATGCATACGACCTTTGTGATATTAGGTACACCAGAGGTCACGTCCACATAGCATACGGAGAAACAATATATCCAGTATCGGCATATGAAGAGTGGTCTGCTAATGGTCTAGAACTCCAGCATGTAAAACCACCAAAAACGAAAAAGAAAAGGGGGAGGCCACAAACAAAACGCATTCCATCAGCGGGAGAGAAGAGAAGGACTGCCGATTTGACTTGCTCTGGATGTCATAACAAGGGACATGCAATACGGACTTGCAGCAAAAATACACAAGAACAACCAGAAGCAGAAGAAAACACGCAAGAAACAGATTCTGATATCGAACCCGAAACACAGTCTGATAATGGAGAAGAAATTTGGTCGACCTTAAAATCGACCAGTCCACATTGGTCGACCAGAATAAGGGGTCGATCAAGAGGGAATTATTTTCTACTATGGTTCATATATTCTTTTCATCTCCTCATCTTTTGACTTTCTCACTAAAATAATATATGACGTTTTTCATAAATGTACAATAAAATAATTAATAAATTTTTATTTTAAATCTATTCATCATTTTCTGTTTTACTAATTTTGAACATCAAAGAAGAGTTCAAAACTAGCATTAAAAAGAAAATATAATGCATCTACATTAAAATGAAAAAAAAGCAAATAATACATCTATATCAAAATTAAAAATAAATACACTTCTTTGTCGACTTTCTGGATGCAATATTTAAAATCGACCTGTCAACATTGGTTGACCGGAATAAGGGGTCGATCAAGAGGGAATTATTTTCTACTATTGTTCATATATTCTTTTCATCTCCTCATCTTTTGACTTTCTCACAAAAATAATATATGACCTTTTTCATAAATGTACAATAAAATAATTAATAAATTTTTTTTTAAAATCTATTCATCATTTTCTGTTTTACTAATTTTAAACATCAAAGAAGAGTTCAAAACTATCATTAAAAAGAAAATATAATGCATCTACATTAAAATGAAAAAAAACAAATAATACATCTATATCAAAATTAAAAATAAATACACTTCTTTGTCGACTTTCTGGATGCAATATTTAAAATCGACCAGTCAACATTGGTCGACCGGAATAAGGGGTCGATCAAGA